CGTGCTTCGTTAATTGTTAACCTCGATAACCATTATAATATAAATTTTAACGGTGCATAAAATTAGAAGGCAAAGAGAAGCGGCAGCTACAGTTTTATTGACAAATGACGCAGGCCAGAAAGTTATAAGCATATGTGTAAGTATCAGCGAGCGGAACAAAAATGACACACATTGGAGATGGTGGGTAAGCCAACTCGACGGAGAGAAGCGAAAATAATGCGCATTGGAGATGGCGGGTAAGCCAACTCACTTTAATCAAGCATTAATCAATATTTATAGTCAGACAAGAATAAGTTACAGACATGTGATAAATAGGATAAGAAGTGTACACACACCTACACTCACATAAAAATGGTCAGGGTTAATAAGTGAACAATTAACAAGGTGAAAACATGACTCATGGGTTTAACATATCAAACGATACTACACTAGAAATTAATGTTGTCAGACACAGTATCAACTTGTAGCCTGACCGGTTTGCCATTGAAAAAGATGGTTATGTACTTCCTATTAGGTGAGAATTGGTCACTTTCGTGGCCAGAACAACATTTGAGGTGTGTGGTATTACTTTTGACGTCTGCATCTTATTTCCCTTACGGAACTTATGCTGACGGTCAGCAACTTTCAGCCTACTTTTACGATATACTTGAGCATGGCTATATTTACCACATTGAAAACATACTCGTTTTTTAAAGTAACAAACATTTTCAGAATGAGACTTACCACATCGCCAACAAGACGTTTTCGGATTCCCTGGGAGTACGAATCCTTATTTCCATTAAAAGATTTACGTAAAGTATTAACTCCCACGTGTTCACAGTTCCTTTCTACGAGATTTGTGTCATGCTTCAAATTAACCATTCTTTGACATTCTTCAGATATCGATATTCGGATCTTGTTCGATTCTTGCTAGAATCCGTATTCTAATATCTGTATCTGCTGAAGATTATAATCCACAGATAAAAATAGGGCATTTGAACTGATCTGAGGACATTTCTTGTAAACGGAACCGCTCATATCCCCGGTTCACGATGCTTGCATACATCACATAGTCGTCCTGTGCTTTCTTTACAAGCTGGAGACACTGGTATCTAGTGTGAAAAATTGATGATCGTTCACCAAATATACGTGTCAGGCACTCTACTGTTTCTCTGAAGGTTATGTCCGTTGACTTCTTTGGGAGGACAAAATCACAACATTTTTCATGTCCAGACACTCCGAGCTTTCGTAATAATAATGATCTCAGTTTTGAACCTTTGTTCCACTGTTTACAATCATTAATAAACAAATCCTCATGGCGTTTAAACCACGCCTCAAAAGTAACTCTACTTTCTGGATCAAACCTAAATTCACTTATTGAACTTGCAATAGAATCCGGAGTTATAGTAGAATCAGACATATTGGTTCTTGAGGATATTGATATATTTTCGAACATAATTTGATAAGAGAATTTTGCTGTTGTAATAAAGTTATCAGATCATCCATTCTGTTACATAATCCACTTAAACTGAATATATAAGCGTAGATCCGTTTCGACTACCGTCGCCAATTGTTATAAAGGTAGAATACTTGTTATAACACTAGGGCTTCTTGTTATAACAGTCCTTTCACATTTTACACGTATGCTGGACGTTCATTTACCTTAGACGAATATCTACACTAGATTCCGTCCCAGTGTCTATTCTACAGGACTTCAATACACGACTCAGATCAAGGATACGAGATCAACCTGACTAGAACGTCAATATATTTCCACACCGATATCCGACACAACCCAACAACAAAGGACAGTTAATCATTAATAATAATAAGTAATCTGGATAGGGGAATATATATCGAGATCTGACACCTGTCAGACTATCTACATGTCTGACTTAGCAAAACAGCCAATCATTATCATTCTCGCCCACACATCATTTATGCATATTTTGGTTGACTGGATAGTGCTGGTGGACAGCCTATGCCCCTTCATAAGGGGTAAGAGGGGTGAGTAAATATTTAGCTAGACTGGAAAAGGGGTAAGAATGGACAAGGATAATAATGATAAAATAATGTGAAAACAATTTGACACCTAATCACTCTGGATAATAAGCAAATATTACCAGGGTAGGCAGAGATGGATAGTGGCTAGCAGTGGAATCCAGGACGCGCGTTTCGTCCTATTTGGGACTCGCAGCTGGATGTACCTGCATCTCAGAGTTGATGTTCACTCTGGGACTCGAACCCAGTACCCTCGCTTCAAACGCCATCGCGTTATCCACTCGGCCACTGAGTCCTGATAGCCACTTGCTTGTACCAAAATGGTTGCAAAAACAAATACAGTCGAATGACACAATAAGAGTAGAGGATAAACATCCATTATCCTCTATTGCTAAACATATAATCGAAACAGGTCATAAGATTAATCTAAACTCGGCTTTTGTGGTGTTGTTTAAAAGTGTAAAACGGCGTATAGTAAGGTTGATTGGAGCCTTAGCCATACGAAAATTCAACCCCCCCCCTTGTGTATTCAAAAACAGTTTGTTCTCTCTTTAAACCTACCCTGGTAATAAATGCTTATTATCCAGAGTGATTAGGTGTCAAATTTTTTTGTTTTCACATTATTTTATCATTATTATCCTTGTCTATTCTTACCCCTTTTCCAGTCTAGTTGACCTTTTATTTTTATATATAAATGTTCTTAACAAGTATATGTGTGATCAGATTGTTCGAAATGTATTGCGCTAATATATCACATAGTTCTGATAATCTTCGTCTTCTCATTGCATTATCGAAATTTATCAAAGGGACTAATTGCTTTAAATATTTAGCTGTTGTTGTCACCTTTGTAATCTGTTAGTTCAATAGTTTTCAAACTCTTAATTAAATTTGTATGATAGTTGAATGTCGTTATGGGTGGGTGGTTGTGAAAAGAAGGTTAAAGTTTTTCTAGATTGATGTTAATTGATCATGATAAAGAATTTAATATATTGTAAGCAAAGATGTATAGTGACTAGTAGTGGAATCCAGGACGCGCGTTTTGTCCTATTTGGGACTTGTCATCAGGTACATCCAGCTGACGAGTCCCAAATAGAACGAAACGCGCGTTCTGGATTCCACTGCTAATCACTATCCATCTTTGCTTACCATGCTTGTGAATTAAGGCTATATCGAGGCATTACTCAGAGTATGCACCTATGCCAATTAGAGACTGACCAGTTGCAGTCATAAGACATCGATGGGAAGATTCAAACAAACAATATTAAATGAATTTAATTTAATATATTGTTTCTATGTGTATCCGATTACAGTGAACTTTGACTTAGTAATGAATGCGAACAAGTAGTCTTGTGATATGCTTATTTTTCTAATCTCTATATTTATTTTAGTACAATTTGTTAATTAGTCAGGCTATTAGTATGACGTCTAAATGAAAAAGGACTACATTCAATACTGTGAGTAAAATTCCCATATGTAATGGAATTGTCTCATCAACGTAACCGGATATATCTAACCTTATTCCACTTATCTAAGCTATAATTGTGTAATTCAACTTCTGCTCCTAGTATCTGTATATTAGTATTCAATACAATCAATATGTTAAAAACAATTAAGGACTCATCATGTTTAAATAGAAACTCTACCTGCAGGTCTTTTAGAGTTACTGCCAGTCCCAAGCCCGGGTAAAGGAGGAGGGTTTGGCATGGGGTTAGCGACCCCATCTCGTAGAAAAACTAACTCGCTAAACAAACGCCGACCAGAAGAAAACAATGTTTAAATAGAAACACTCATAATACTGAAAGTATCAATTTAATTTATTACAGAAACAATACGTCAGAATGAAAATGACAACTTCCCAACTGATTCCGTTTCCTATTGAAATTAATCTAAGATAGTAAAAATGACTGACATAGAAACATTTATATTGAGAAAATATATGACCTTAGAAGTCAAACATGTTACAGGTTAGATGGTAAGTCATTGAGGGATTTAGTTGAAGATTATATTATTATTATTAGAAAAAGAGCTCTGAAGCTCTTGAGTCTAATCTTGAATTAGATATCAGTCAAAACTAGTAAGAAATTGAAAAGTAAGAGAAAAGGATTACATATTAATGAGATCAATATTTGTAAAGGTTCGAATTATCCTGTTGTACATATCGAGAATTGAATGTTGATCGATTCAATGGCTTACTGAAAAAATGATATAAACAATTCATCGATAAAATAAGTTAGTGGCTACCTGAATTAAGCAGTTCAGTTGATGACGTAATATTGTCCATATGAAAAAGGGACTAAAATCAAGTCTAATTGTGAGTATCAACACTTGAATACAGATATAACCAACTGAGGAATTACAAATAAGATGAAATGTACATCCTGAATTCTACTGCTAGCTACGATCTATCTATTCGAAGTCACTCATTGCTACCCAAAATACCAATAGTTGTCCAAATAAAGTCGGTTCAGGATAAAACCTAACTTTAACTAATTGGAGATTTTCACATAACGATCAGTCTTAAATCAAATAACGCATCATGTAATAACTCAGTAAATATATGAATTTTCATGACGCGTTATTATGGTTCTGTCAATGTCCGGACGTTCCATGTACCTATAAAGAGTGTTGCTCTGTTTGTTAGGAAAGGCATCGGCCCTGTGACTTCCGAAGGATCTCGGCTTTCATCATGAGGCGTCATAATTCTCCCTTCAACTCACAGGGCAGAGTTTAAATTGTTTGAATTATTTTTCTGGTTAGCGTTTTTTTATAGAGTTGGTTTTCTACGGTATGAAGTCGCTAACCCCATGCCCAACCACCCTCCTTATTTATCCAGGCTTGGGACCGACAGTAGCCCCCGGAGGGGCTACAAGTGGAGTTGTTATGATGATTCAGTATACTTCAAATATTTTACCTGTTTCTCATTAGATTCCCAAGAAAACTAATGTGGATCCAACCAAAAATTTTAATTTGTTGGCTGGTAATAATAAGGAAATGTTGTAATTTCTTTGTCTAAATTTCAGTCGCTTACGGACCATTCAATTCAAATACTTATTTATTGACAAGCAGTATGAACACTATGTTTCTTCAAGCTCAAGTAACCAATGGAACAGATTCATTAAGTACTGCTAGCTCACTCGATGTTTTATGGTCGGTAAGTGAATGGTTTTCAGCTCCATTTCTCTGTTTATTATGAATGCTTCTTTTTAAGTATAAGTATCTATTTTACAAGGCACTCAATACCACAATGATGACCCGACATATTTCTTTCTTTAAAAGCACTTTACTACTAAATATCTTGATAGTAGTATAAATAGTTGTTAAATTAAATTCATCTGAATATTAAGATTGTTCCTTTTATCTCGCATGTCATGCTGACAGCATAAACAAGACGGTTATAATAGTACGGAAGAAATAAGGTATGAATGCCTGAGGACCTCACTCGAAGATACGTTAAAATCACAAACCTATCTTATTTAGACAATCGTTGAACACCTTGAAGCGCTAGATGATCATTTCGTTCTAGCATAGGGCTCATAAGTAGAGCACATCCACGACCTCGTAACCGAGATTCAGATCTGGGACATTCTGTCTTTTGAGCGAAGTCTTAGTCCTCAGATCCCTGAGTCATGATTCAATGATGTTCTAGTCTAATAAAATACATGGATTATTGGTTGCTGACGTAATGTTTTTATGCCACTGCTGTGTTGGTAGTAGGATAAGCATTGACTAGTTATAATGATGGCACATACCTTCAACAATGAATTACCCATCTTTATCCACCATCCTAAATCTATTACTCGAAGCTTTTATCATCGTTACTAGTTAATAGTTGTATACATAATACTTTCATAAAATATTTTTTATAGGTAATACAAGGTCCTATTATGAATAATTGGTACAGTAGTACATGGTATAATTCGCAACCATTTGTAACGGCAGATAACTTAACCCTATTATATCAAAATCGTCTGATTGGTGTGCCACGTTTGAGACAGCTACGTATGTCGTCGAATTCATGTATGATTCCAGTTTATTTTACTGATGATATCAAAGAATGTTATGGACAATATCAAGAAGCGAATGAAGATAAAAAACCATTTGGTTTGAAAACTGGTACAGCGTAAGCAAACAAATTTTTGTTGGTTTTTACTTTCCACAATAAAGTATTTGAACTTTTTCCGGTTGTTGAATCAATTGATCCGTTTTTATTGTTAAACAATGGCTTGATGAATAGATTCTTCAAATATTATTTCACTATTCTTATATATTGATTGGGTGTTTCAAGTCCAAAACAAACACCTCGTCGGTTAACTGCACGTATAATTCTGAAAATTTCATGGGATTCAATATTTCAGCAAATATCATGCTATTCTGGAACTTCATAGTAATTTGAAGCTACCAATATACTGGGAATCGAACATCATATTCCGTAGTGAACATGGAATTGCCAAACTAAGAGGCAAACTGACTTAAATTAGGAATAAGAACAATCGGATGCTTGCTTAGTGAATCAAAGGTTAAGAGCTCACCCTTGAGCTTGATGGTACTGAGTACAACCACTGACCTAATAGTGAATGTGATCCACTAAGGAGTCCCGTACTAGGACGAAGAAGCTGTCTAGTACTCCATATTTTTTAAGGGCTTTCTAGTTGCAGTCAATCCGTAAAGTAGACCACAAAATAGTCAGAGTCTATCAATTTCTTTTAGCACTGACCAATCAATTAGATAAAAAGTTATGAAATCACTATTGACTTGGTTATGGGATGGATGCTCAAAAATTCTAGTAAGGAGTGGTGATTAGTAGAGCTTAATCATTTCATAAATTGTATAGGTATCACTATCAGTAGTGATTTACGGTCATTCTGTGCCATAAATCAGTTACAGTTAAGCATTTGAACCATTAGAATATAACTCAAACATCTTGACATATTCTGATCGCTGCAATTATTAGTCTCGATCCGTATGAAAATAAGACGTTTATACCGTTTTTGAGAATAGGATCACTACAGTACAACTGCCTAATGACCCTTGAGATTTTCCAGTTCATATAGATCCACTATGAAGGTTAACTTCAAAAAAATGTACAAAAAATTGTCCAGCTATTGCCAAAAACAAGATGTAAACAACATATGTTTTCCATACAGTATTAATAAAACTTTTCGTTGTTCAATGAGGTACATTCAAGTACATCCAGATGACGAAACCCAAATAAGACGAAACGTGCGTCCTGGATTCCACTGATAGACACTGTCCGTCTTTGCCTACAATGTTTGTGACTTAAAGCTATATCGAGGCAATCCCCATAGAATGCACATATGCCAATATGAGACGGATCGGTCGTACTATAATCATGAAGAAATATCAAGACAGTCTTTGATTCAATCTATCTCCAAATTGAATACTCTCCATAACTCATTCTATGTTGATAAATAATCATATGCCTACTATAGATTAACATTGGTAAAGATTTTCAAAAGTTCTAATCAAAAATTATGATCAATAGGCTTCAATTATTTAAGATACGATACAAGTATTACTAATGACAATGGTTGATGATCGCTTGATATTAAGCTAGATAAAAGGTTTTATATGGTATTTGGAAATTCTTGTTTCTATTAGAGGTAACATTATTGATATGCTTGATGTTAATTCGATTTCTCGGTAAACAAACGAAGGTCAATGACACAGTGAAACGATAGGCTAATCTAATCCGTTGTTCCAGGCCCCGTTAACTAGAGGAAAAAGTTCAAGGCGAAGTAGGGGAAAATATATTCCGTAAGCAGCCGAAGTACAAGCAATCATAAGGGGAAAACCTCAAACGTATATATACAGCGATAAATTGTCCTTGGGCAACATTACAAAGTAGCACACTCAAAGATACAACGGATCAATAGCGTTTAAGCTATTTTACAAGTGGGAAATACGACTCGACGGTGAAAAGAGCGCTTTTGGCGCAAAAACAAAGAAATTCAAATTTTCAAAATAAAATTACAAAATTAGGCCATTTACCAAGTAAGTTCTGAGGATTTAACATCCCCAACAATTATCCAAGTGTGTTATTGGGCAGTCGCGTAACAGGATCTGGTATATATTCAATACTTTTTAAATGTTTAATGGTTATTTATTAAAGTTCAATCCGCGATGAAACTTATTTATAAATCAACTTCATATCAACTTTGGTAGTAGTGTCAGTAGTAATTATAGTAGTGATGTAATGAACGATAACAACGGATTGATTGTTTAGTATTAAATTACAAAATGTTTTGGTAGAATATGTGAACCATACATTGAATACTTCATTTGAGAATTTCCATCACTTGTCCTTTACATTCTGTATGATTCTTACAGTTCATAATTTCTATCTAATTCACTTTCTATTCCCTTCAACTCAACCTTATTAGCGTTCTGATTCCCCCTTCCATCCATATAGAATGGTGAAGCCTAGTTGGCCCTTCTGCAGAAGTGTGCTACATCGAAGCGCGACACAACTACTGGGGCAGGATAGCTGTTTCTGCCCTGCTTACGTAGAACCATTACATAACACTCACAACCCATTTTTCTGTTTTGTTTTGTTTTTATTTGGGAAGACTCATTTTTTACCACTCTTTTGAACCCCTAATAGTTATGCAATGACTCTTTTTAGCATTCGTAATCGTTTGCGAGTACAGGTGGATTAGGCCGATCTCCACCAACCTTATCACCACTCACGTTAGTACATGGGATGGTTGCCATGATCTAGGAGGCACAACGAGGACGTATGAGTCGGATTTCGCCTCCCAGCCTTTTGATACCAGATTTTCCACCCCTTGATTACTACTTATGTCGACAGACACGGTAGTAGTAGTAGTAGTAGTAGTAGTAGTAGTAGTAGTAGTAGTAGTAGTAGTAGTAGTAGTAGTAGAAGTAGTAGTATTGGATCATCTTTTGTAAAAGAAAACAACTGAATTCATTGTAAAAAAAATCTGTTTTGCATGCTTAAGTAATTTTTACATAACTTTTATCCATTTCAGTTGGACCTATACATCATCTGATAAATTAGGTATGTATTCATATTGGGGTTCGGTCAGTTCTTATGGCGGTGGAGGATATTATCAAGATTTATCACGTGATCAAACTGAAGCAGCTAGTCAACTTGATAAGTTATTTCAAAATTTATGGTTAGATAGAGGAACTCGAGTTTTATTCATACATTTTACAACGTATAATGCAAATATGAATTTATTTTCTATAGTTGAGTAAGTTGTAATTGATGACATAAGCAATAGTCTGTCATTTCTAAGGATGTGATTGTTTTAGATAAAGTTCTTTTTTGAACGATTTGAAATTAGGTATTGTGAGACATTAATACTACTGATCTGAGTAGTGAAGAGGTGGAAACATTCAACGTACCTGGGAAGCATAGTTGGTAAACAAGGAGGATCTGATGCAGATGTAAAGGCGAGGATTGGCAAACCAAGAGCAGCACTTCTACAATTGAAGAACATATGGAACTCAAAACAACTTTCAATTAATTTCAAAGTCAGAATCTTGAATACGAACGTCAAGACAGTTCTACTGTACGGAGCTGAAACGTGGACAACTACTACATCCATCGTCAAGAAGGTACAAGTATTTATAAACAGTTGTCTATGCAAAATACTCAACATCCATTGGCCGGATACCATCAACAACAGCCTTCTGTAGGAGAGGACAAACCAGCTTCCAGCTGAAGAGGAAATTAGGAAAAGACGTTGGAAGTGGATCGGACATACATTAAGGAAATCACCAATGTGCATTAAAAGGCGATACCTAACTTGGAATGGTGAAGGGAAGCGGAAAAGAGGAAGGCCAAAGAATACATTACTTCGGGAAATAGAAGCCGAACTGGAAAGGAAGGCTCAGGACAGAGTTGGATGGAGAATGCTGGTGAGCAACCTATGCTCCTCCACGAGGGGTAGATTTATGTATTAGCACTTTTATTTCATACCTTAATGATTTAATATGTGAAACTTGAATTGTAATTCTATGAAACATTGTAAGCGTCTATTTTAAACAGAAGTGAACTATTTTGAACTAGTCCAAAAGTATCAAATTATCAGATTTCGATGACTTTGTTACTGACTGAAGATGTGATTGTTTTCGATAAAGTTCTTTTTTGAACGATTTGAAATTAAGTATTGTGACACATTAATATTACTGATATAAGTAGTCGATCACATACTGTGCACTAGTGATCTATTTCAAATTGAGTTCCTTAGGTTTATTGGAGAAGTTGTAATCGGTGTAGTACAATTATTAAAAAATTAAGATAGTATCTTATGAATGGTACTGAACTGCTGTCATTTGAAACTGTGAATGGATTAAAGTTGGAAATGTAAACTAGAGGATTCTGATCCAGTCGATCAGTCAGTCAGTCATAATTAACATAGAGATCAGCAAAGATGTGCACTGGTTAAAATTGTCAAACTAATTAACTCGACTGAATGTAATTAACAAGTTACAAAGAAATAGGAATCATATACTGACAATGATAAAAGAAAGACTAAATCTTTGGAATACAGTTTAAAACTACAGTGTAAAGGTGTGCATCAAGGGATATTGGGATTGAATGTCGAAAGAAATGTACGGAGTGAATGAATCTGCTTCACTGTGAACGATTCTGAGCTATATCACTCAAGGTCTCCAACCACTGATTCCAGATATCATTCGGACTCCAAGCAGGTAGTCTAGATCTAACAAAACAGCTCAGACAAACAGTCGCTAACTTCATGGACTGATGATATGTTTTGGTTTGGGTGACCCTAAATTTTTTTTAAATTACTTTTACACCATCAAGCATTTGCCATTCAGACAACAGGTGGTATGGCATTAGTAACATTTCCTGACCACATCAAGTGACAAAGATTCATGATCTCATCAATCAATTTACTATCTTCGCCTACTGTCCTCAACATTCCAAACATAGTCGTCCAGCAATAGACAAACATTGTTTTAAAAACACCTACGATTAAAAATGTACAGCATGTTCATGTCTTCTACTTCCAAAGACCATGTTTAACAACCATAGTGTAGTACAGAACAGACTGTACACTAACCCTTTGGTCAGAAACGATTGTCTCACTTAATGCATGAAAGTTGGCACAAGCTAACTGTCATTACTGAACAAAATTTTAGGACTTGAATTTCATCCCTCGAGGGGTTGTGGGAAGTACAACCGTATACACCATTGAAATTCTAAAAATACTTACAAACTAATGATTCATCAATGAATACATATATACATGTGCTTCCCATTTTATTTTCTTCTCTATTTTAGGATTGTCATTGAAGTTCCTGCATCAGGAAGTCTCATCCTCAATAGTGATTTTAGATCAGTTAAACTGTTACGTTATGTAACTCCATTTGATTATTTTGTATTAGCATGTGAATGTGCATTCTTAATATTTATCGCCTATTATATAGTCGAAGAAATTATGGAAGTAAGTCATTAATCTTAAGTAGTATATATATTCATATAATCATTTTAACGAGTATAAGTGAATAAGCTTTTGGATGGTAAGCAAAGATGGATAGTGACTAGCAGTGTAATCCAGTTTGACGCGCGTTTCGTCCTATTTGGGACTCGTCAGCTGGATGTACCTGCATCTCAGAGTTGATGCTAATTAGAGACTGACCAGTTACAGTCCTAAAACATCGATTGGAAGATTCAAACAAACAATACTAAATGAACTTAAGCTTGTGAATGGTTTGTTGTCTTTTGAGTTATTACACATCACAAGTGTATTCTATTCGACTAAGTAATGAGAAAGCAAGATGTGAATGACATAAATTATGGGTATGATTTCCTGACTACAAGTAAGGAACTGGAAAACCATTCAGTTAGTTAAAGATAAATGTATCTGCCTGTCTAGCATAGGGTCCAAGATCAATAGGATGATGCGGTAAAATGACATCTTCTCAGCCTATCACAATTTTTTTGATAAGGTTGAATATCATTACTGTGGCTGTTTCACTCACAATATGATTCAAATCCACCGTTTACGGCTTCCAGGAAAAGCTTCTAGGGGAAGTAAGTCTAAGGTTAACTTACTAGTCTCTAATTCCTCAGGTCTTATATTCAGTCCCTGATGAGGTTTTAGTTGCTTATTTCTAGGGAGTTGTCAGTGTGAAGCAGTGTTACCTGATTTTCAATGTTCTGCTAGTTAAATTCTTTTTGTCATATAAACTATCTTTATAATGTTGGTAGGATTTGTAATATTCCGCTCTTTCCTTTCCATCAGTCTGCGTTGCCATATACGTCTCCTGAGAGGATTGTCATGATAAAGTATTATATCCCAAGCTTTCAATATTTTAGTATAGGACCACCAGAATAATCTTAGAAATGTATTTTATCTTATTTGGGACTCATCTAATGGATATTCTTACTGCACCTCAGTATTAATGTTCACGTTCCACTCGAATCCAATATCTTTTGCTTAAAATCCTTAAACGAATTATCCATTGAGCTAATGACAATCAATTTTAGTCTTGGTGAAAATATTAACACCAATTATATTCAGATGATAAGTTCTAATGCTAATTATACTATCTAGATAACTGTTTTTGTTACTAAAATATATTTAAGTAGTTACTAAGTGTTAGCTTTTTTAGCGAGTTAGTTTCTTACGAGATGAGGTCGGTAACCCCATGCCCAACCCTCCCCCTATATCCGGGCTTGGGACCGGCAGTAGCTGCCAGAGGGCCACATGCGGATACAATACAGCATGCATTAATCTAATTACGCTTGACGGAGAAGCTTTGGAGGATGTGAAAACCTTTACATGTCTGGGAAGCATCATTGATGAACACGGTGGATCTGATGCAGTTGTCAAGGCGTGGATCGGCAAAGCGAGAACAGCATATTTACAACTAAAGAACATCTGGAACTCAAAACAACTGTCTGTCAACCAACACCAAAATCAGAATTTTTAATACAAATATCAAGACAGTTCTTACTGTATAGGGCGGAAACCTGGGGAACTACGAAGGCCATCATCCATAAGATACAGGTGTTTATAAACAGTTGTCTACGCAAAATACTTCGGATCCGTTGGTCAGACATTAACAGTAACAACCTATTGTGAGAGAGAACAAACCAGATTCCAATGGAAGAAGAAGTCAGGAAGAAGCGCTGTCAGCGGATACGACACACATTAAGGAAATCACCCAACTGCGTTACAAGACAAGCCCCCATATGGAATCTTGAAGACCAAATGAGAGGAGGAAGACCAAAGAACACATTACACCGGAAAATGGAGACAGACATGAGAAGAATTTACAAAAGTTGAATAGAACTAGAAAGAAAGGTCCAGAACAGGATAGGTTGGAAATTGTTGGTCGGCGGTTTATGCTCCATTGGGATTAACAGGAGTAAGTAAGTAAGTAAGTAAGTAAGTAAGTAAGTAAGTAAGTAAGTAAGTAAGTAAGTAAGTAAGTAAGTAAGTAAGTAAGTAAGTAAGTAAGTAAGTAAGTAAGTAAGTAAGTAAGTAAGTAAGTAAGTAAGTAAGTAAGTAAGTAAGTAAGTAAGTAAGTAAGCAAGTAAGTAAGTAAGTAAGTAAGTAAGTAAGTAAGTAAGTATGTAAGTAAGTAAGTAAGTAAGTATGTAAGTAAGCAAGTAAGTAAGTAAGTAAGTAAGTAAGTAAGTAAGTATGTAAGTAAGTAAGTAAGTAAGTATGTAAGTAAGTAAGTAAGTAAGTAAGTAAGTAAGTAAGTAAGTAAGTAAGTAAGTAAGTAAGTAAGTTATTGATATACACAACACAACTCTACATAAACATACATTCTATTTAATCAAATTGTAACCGTGTTTCCTATTTTCAAATTCTTTCTTAACAACAACTAGATAAAGAAACAAGGATGGATTTATTTTGTATCTGTATGGAATTCATTAGATATTATTATTATTATCATTAGTATTGTATGTGCTGCATTCAATATTTATCGTACAATTATTGTTATTAATTTATTAGAAGATATATTAAAAAATCCAAATGAATTTGCTAATTTTCAAATGTTAAGTATATGGCAAGTGAATTTTAATTTTGCTATCTCTATTACTGTATTCTTAGCATGGGTTAAGGTAAGTTAAATGGAGTTTGTTTGTTTTATTGTTTATTCATATGGATATTTTTAAAAATGGGAAATCTTAATTGAGAAGACTATCATTTATGGATGAGCATTAAATGATACTGAAGTAACCTTGAGAGTGTTGACCTGTTAACTAGGACTACTGTGGTGTGGGTTACTGATATCCACATAAGTAGTATATAGAGGAGACTATAATTTATGGATGACCTTTGAATGAATCTTAAGTGACCTTGAGAAATGTTAGCCAATCAGTAAATAGTCAGTATAGAGTAAAATATATTATACAAAACTAAAGAATTAAAGTGGATACACTTCTTTCATAGGATCCAAAAACTTGTCAGGTATAGAAAAAGGTTCCAAAATCGTAGTGCATAAGGTAGAGGAACTCATCCATGTGCCTTCATAATTGTTGGTCTCTGAAGCCATGATAAGACCATAAAAACCCTCCCAGCCTCGACCACATAGCTTCATTATTGTTTGTTTGTACTCCGGTTGTGTAAGCTTATCATTTTTATTATGGATATGTACAGTCGAAGCTTCAGTAACATCTGCGATTATTGCAGCCAATGTTACTTGTACTTTTATTATACAGTGGCGGCAATTATTATTATAATATGCCTTAATCTCAATCTGGATCGAGCGATAAAGGTTCCTATTTTAGCAAACGTCTTCCTTCAACATATATTACATCGAAGGACAACATCACGGTAGTCTGCCCAAGGTCTACAAGTCATTTGATACTCGTAATTACAAATACAGCAACTTCTTAGTAGTTTCATTTGTTGTAGCCGCTTAATTGTCAAGTCTTCTCTAAAATTCTCTGTGAAACGATCGTACATAAGCTTCAGGTACTGAAATTGGTGCCGTTACCTTGAAATCCCTCAAACTCTTCTGATTGGCTCGTCCATAAATTATAGTCTCGCCAAAGTATATAATGATGGTCGGGCATTGAATGTATTTTAGTAGAAGATCGTTAAGGAGAGAACGGGAACGACACGCAATTGGTACGAAAATGCATGAACAATTATAATCGGAGACTATGGATGGATATTTGCAGAAGAAACAGTCGAATTGAAACAATTGATTGTTATTTTGCAAATTAAATGTTCACTATATGGTTCTCATATTTTAATGAGATATTCTGTAATGTTGTGCTCAAATACCTTCGATGGTCCCCACCCGTGTTCTTGTTCAATACACTACATGAGGGTGGCAACACAGTGTAAGGAATTCAAACTATGATTTGCAGTTGATGCTTAGAGTTATGAATTAGATGTAGGGATTTCATCATGAGGTGATATTAGTTAAAATATCAAACTATTTAGTTAAATGGATGAATGAATTTCGTGCCAAAATTCAAGTTCTGTTATATTATATCTAATTGGTTCATTCATAAATTAGAGTTTGGCCATTTTAGTTAATTGTTAAATCTTGGTTGACAAGTTTTCTTGTGTTGAGATTAGGCTGTAGCTATCCCTATAACACTCCTTCACAAGTTATTCAAGTCCTGGATTAGTTATTGGTTGTTCTGTAGACCTTCGAGTATTTGGCCTTGTTAATTAATTGCTTATAACCCTGGTTAACCTAGTGTTCGATTATGTGACACAGTCTATCTCGCATAAGCTCGCTATAAGTCCCAAGGGCATGTTTTTTTCTGTTTGTTTTAAGTGGTACACCCAAGTTGACATCGATCCTTCACAGGTTTTTACTTTTACTTACTCTTGTTACCTTCAATGGAGCATAGGCCACCGACCAGCATCCTCTAACCCACTCTGTCCTCGACAAGACTACCAAAAAATTGTTAGATTTACTTAGCATTTTTTACACGAAATTAATCGACTTGAGGAAAATGATAAACAATGCTAAAAATTTAAATTTACGAGAGGCAGAAGACGAAAACCAAAGAATATGTCTGCGCCATTAATATCAAAGGTTTCTAATCACGGATTACAATTATTTTGTCATTATTAAATAAGGCATTTGTGGATTCCAATAAGAATCAAATTAGAGATCTAAAAACCTCATCCCGTAGTCTTTCTGTCCATATTTGTTATTTTAGTCTTCTTTCTATTGGAGCCAACTCATAATAATAGGTGCAATATTCACCAAACGATAAACAGTTAGTGAGTTTCATGAGGCCATATAACTTAAAGTTCCCAAATCATTACTCCTACAATAGAATGTTCGAACCAGTAAACCCAAAATTTCATATAAGTACATAAGATTTAGGTCATACAATGTTTCTTGTTCGACCGATTCATACTGCCACTCAGTAAGAACGGCAAACATCAGAGAATAATTGAATTATATTGTTAACAATACTATGAGATTAATCAGTCTAAGTTACTGTGACAGACTTTTAAGCAGTTTGTAGGAAATCCCTATGGTTTTTAGTGTTACTGATTGCTTTGAGGTAGTTATAATTTTGGAAGAAAATATCAATGCTTACTCCATACAAAAGTGAGAATTTTCGCTATTTCACAAGCGTTAAATAATTTCTTCCTGATAGATTTGTTTGTGATTGCCTGTCTTCGTAGATTTCGTTATAGACAGACTGAAAATACTCCGAGATTATGGAAATTTTAAGAATACCAGAGGATTTCCAGTAGTACAGTATTCAATCAGTTGCTAATTAGTGAACATATCGATATAAATCCAACCTAACAATTCACACGAACACAGGTCAATTATCTACTTGGTCAATCTAACGAGACAGGACACATAAACTACAAAGATAAACAATCTAATGCAATAACATTTCAGCCAACTGATTTGATGCTTGGCGAATAGTTAAACATCTTACTTCTGGATGGAATAGGGTCTAAAAAACGTCAATGAGAGCTATATGATTATATCATCTATCTCAGATAACTCGTTAACACTGAAATCATCCACCTCCGTTATAAATATCTACCATCTCAACGTCGATAACATACAATTTTTACATTGTAATTCAATAAGGTTGGTTAGCCATCACATATGCTTAAATTATACATATCACTAGAAATTTTGAATAAAAATATGACCATCATTTTATCTTTGTATACCTTTAACTTTCAAATCATCATGAAGTGAGAATATAGAATTCATAAGATTCATCTAGAATATTCTATCGAATGAAATTTCTATATTTTATATCGCTGAATGACCTTAGACAAAAAAAAACTATTCGAAATCAAGAAGTGTTGAGCAGCTGTTTCGTCTTGGTATGGATACCATGCCGGTGGTCTAAAAGTTATGTGTTCACCGTTAGATCGAAGGAAATGAATCCGCTCCTTGACGAGGTCATGGATGTTCATTTCCGACATGTCATATATGAATGTGAAACAGCTGTTCAGTGATGCGTGAACTAAGATTAATCCTTCATATAAACCGTGAAAGTTAGCAATCTCCACAAACGTTTCCCTGATAAAGAGAAATTTGCATTTTGTTAACCTATTATATTTCGAAAAACTATGTTATATCTTTGAGATTTTTCCTTGTTTTAAATAATACGCATGCATCAGTTTATGGGCGGCCTATGCTCCATTGGGAGTAACAGGCGTAAGTTAGTAAAGTAATGCATCACTTTGTGTTTTCTTCTTTACTTTATTTTACTTTATTTTTTCTAATTTTTCATAGTTGTTTAAATACATCAGTTTCAATAAAACAATGACCCAATTAAGTTCAACACTTGGTAGTTGTGCAAAAGATCTAGCTGGTTTCGCTATAATGTTCTTTATTGTGTTCTTTTCATTTGCACAACTTGGTTATTTAGCATTTGGTACACAAGCAAAAGATTTCAGTTCATTTATTACAGTTGTGTAAGTTTATAATGTGCTTTTAATTTATTCCTTGTTAATCTTGTCATTTTTCAGTATGGAGTTATTAAAGTTGTTGGATTTTATTGAAACCATTGACCGATTTAAGTCAGATCACTATTGGAAACCAAGAACTACTGGCCGGTCGTTTCATCCTAGTATGAAACTTATGCACGTACGAATCGAACTCCAACACTCTTGAACACCTAAACTCTGGATCACTGAGACAACATTTAACGGTATTTATGTCGTGGACTGATTAAGCTTAGAGATTAGCACGTTTAGACGCGGGCTTAGTGGTCCAGAGGTAAGACGTTTAAACGAGAGACTGAATATCCTGCGTTCGGTTTCCACGTGCAGGGTCATGAATACACACTTGTAAGGAGTTCCATGATAGGAGTGAACATCAACTCTGAGATACAGGTACATCCAGCTGACAAGTCCCAAATAGAACGAAAGGAGCGTCAAACTGGATTCCACTGCTAGCCACTATCCATCTTTGTTTATAATGTCTAGTTATTCTATGAATCGCGATACCTTTATGCTAAGAAGTTAAGATTCAATAGTTTAAAGCTTTAACCAGTCAATTTTTGATACAATACATTCTTCATTTGTATATATTTAGTTAAGTAATGTCCTATCACTAATTTGATTGACTCTAAATGGTCATATGTACTAGCACGTGCTAATTTCTTTAAATTCTGTTTAGTTAAATATATGCTTATGATTAAAATGGTCATAAAATGAACCTATAAACATACTTTTCATATCATCAACAGTGTTATATCCTGGTGAAAACATAAGTACGGGTAACTTCTGGGACCTACTATCTCACGATTATTCTATATGTATTCTTATTGTATAGGTATTCAGTAATTAGATTGTGTGTATCTATATTCATCTTATTATAAGCTTCATTTTGACTTATGGTTTATTATTATATGAATTACTGTTCCTAAATTATATTCAGTTTATTGATTACTGTCTCCCACGTTCACAGCCATATTTGGCTTGATCTTGTACAAATATTATTTTCTATTTGATAGTGTGATGAGGTCTCTCTGTTTTGTATATAAATCGAGTATGCTTGAAATAAATGATTTGCATAGCTGAAGCTAGAATTGATGTTCTGGACTTAATTGGAAGGGCTAGGTGGAAAAGGGACCAATAAGAACGCTAGACTGCTCATACTGATTGAACGTCATTGATTTGGCACAGTGTTAAGATTAGACAAGTCGTATTCCGATTGGCGGATAACTCATATGATAAAATCTGGACATAAATTCATAACGAACTGGCATACGTCTTATTTTTTATAAAATCATAGCAAAGAGAATAATGGAGGTTTCTCAGTATATTTAATTGCAGTTTGGTTTTTGAGTGAACAAAATTCAATAAGCAGTAATGGATAGTTTGAATCTTCCTAAGAATTCTGTATAAAAGTTTTATAGATCTTGCTCTTAAGATGATTGAAATCGATAGACTGATCTGTTCTGTAATCATACAATAAATCTAGAATGTTATGTAGACAAAATCAAAAATGAGTTGGTTCTGAAGTAGATTGTATCTAAAAATTATCAATACTCGTTGAGTGTACTTGATATGATTCCGAGCATAGACAAAAGTTTTTGTATAGTTTTTGTTTCTAAATCTCCAGGATATAATATTTGAATAATGATTTATGAATTATTCCGGATAAGCTAAAATTTTTACAGATTTAAACTTGAAGAACTACCTTTGTAAGTCTTTACTATCATCACTGAAAAGTATTCTTCTACTAATAACTTCTACTCTTAATACTAACACTGAAACCTAATTCTACTCTCATTCTTCATCTCTAATTGTAACTTGTGGAGTTCAAACCACGTCTGTTGTGAGATAATAACTCACTCAAATTCGTGGATTGGTTGATGTTAGACATTAACACTATCGGATACCGGCTGAATGGTCTATCGGTTAAATGCTCTAGCGCGGACTGGTAGGTCCTTGGGTCCTAATCTCGCTGATCGAGATCGTGGATGAGCATTGCCACTGAGGAGTCCTACAATGGGATGAAACGGCCATCCAGCGCTCTCAGGTTTTCCATGGTTGTCTAGCTTCAATTGACTCATAATTTGAAATATGAAAATACTGAAATCTCCACACAAACCCCTTTTGAATAAATAACACATTATGTTACCATTCATTATTCATGTCAGAACTATTATATCCATTGTATCTTTAATATCGTCTATTGTTCATTGTTTTATAAGTAAACTGTTTTTTTTTTCTTTTCATTGGCTGACGAACTACTCAAGGTTGTCACCATAGCACAGTCCCAAAATATATCGAAATGAATTCAGTATTACCCATTCAATTAATCAATCTATTAAGCAACAATGTTCTAGATGTTCTATTGTTTAACTTTTTTGTTTTCTTCTTCTCCCCCCTTTTTCTTTTTTTTTTTTTTTAGTTATACCCTATTTCGTATTATATTGGGTGATTTTGATTTTAATGCATTGGAAACAGCAAATAGAGTATTTGGTCCAATTTATTTTATTGTTTATGTATTCTTTGTGTTTTTTGTACTTATTAATATGTTTATTGCAATTATTAATGAAACTTATTCATCAGTTAAATCAGATTTAGAAAAACAACCAAATGAATTTGAAATGAAAGATTTTCTTAAAGATGTAAGTAATGAAAGAGGATTTTGTGAAGATTTGATATTTTCATAATTGAAAGCATGAGTTAATTGAAGTTATACTACCAAAGAAAACCTTGGATCTCGCGAGGTGAGGTCGTGGCTGTGAACTACCACTGAGAAGTCTCACAATAGGATGAAACGGTCGTCCAGTGCTTTCACGTTTTCCATAGTGGTCTAGATTCAATTGACTTATGCTTTCAACTAGAATATTATTCTTTATAATATGCATTAGATATTAAACATTGTTGGATACCAGTCAAATTAATGGTCTAAAAGGTTAAGCGTTTGCGGGCGAAACCGGAAGTACCGGATCATGGATGCGCACTACCACTGAGGAGTCCCATACTAGGACGAGACGGCCGTTAAGTGCTACTAGGTTTTCAATGATGTACTAACATTGATCTAATCATGATATCAATCAACCAAATGCCCTGGTACGGCGAAGAGTGGGGAGAGTCCGCTCTCTCTCTCTCGAAATGCTCTCACATGGCCACGCGTATATAGCCTCTGTCAGGAAAGTCCTACTCACTGCCTTCTCGTGGCACCGGTGTTGTTTACAAAATTGAGAGGACGAAAAGCGAATGTTCGGCACTTTACCCAGGTTGGTGGACACGGCGCGTCCACCTAGGTTAGTTGGAAAACCCTGATTCCAAACCAATGGTGTACATGGGCTCCAGTATCCTGAAAGAACAAATGGCGTATAAATCAATCGTTGATCATCGGCTACCATTGGAATGTATCTCCTCACGCTGCTCCACTGCCTTATTGATCACACCTTTAGGTCAAAAACTCTGGGTGTGACCCCCTAACAAAACCACCTGCTTCAGTTTGGAAACCTGGACAGTATCACAGCCCTCACACAAATCTCATTCGATTTGTGATTTGTGTGGCGCATATATTTCTGGTGCCCCTTTGTACTAATATTTACATGTTTATTTATAATATAAATAAAAACTCAAAAGTCTCCACAACCTTATACTGTTAAGAACTAATCACATAATTCTATACTTTCTGATCTTTATCAAATCTATCACTGACCTTTATTCACGATCTATTCTATTGACTAAACATTTAAACCTTGATAGTGTTTACTATCATTAAGGTTCAATGCACATCAATTTTTTCTTAGATATAATTATTATTATTTATTATTTACATCTGTTACCCCTCGTGGAGGCGCATAGGCCGCCCACCAGTTCTGATCAGCGTTTTTTTCAGCGAGTTAGTTTTCTACAGGATGGGGTCGCTAGTCCCATGCCCAACCCTCCTCCTTTACACGGGCTTGGGACCGGCAGTAACTCTATAAATGCTACAAGCGGAGTTTCTTAGATATAACCAAGGGTACATTTCTGTTGTCGTTTGTTACTAAGCTGTATCGATTATCCATATATAAACATTTTCTATGGAACATTTAAAATTTTTTCTATTGTTCACGCTTGTACTTTTTCTTTCTCCCCCACCCCCAATAAAAAACAAAAAACAAATACACACTTAGAGAATGAGAAATATGTTAGAGAAATTAAAAATTAAAAAGAAACGAATTGAAAATATTCAAAATGCAATAGAATTAGCTGATTTTAATAAAGATGGTAAATTAGAATATAAAGAAATGTGGAAACATTTGAAAGCGTAAGTTATATTCATTAAAAAAATACTGACATTATTGTCCTTATCTGTATGCGTGTAGGTGTGTGTGTGTGTAAATTAAATACACAATTAAGATATGAAAGGGTTTTTTTTTTTGAAGATTTAGTATTTTCATAGTGACTGACTTCGAGAGGTGAATCCAGGAGTTCTAGTGAGAAACAGTGACCAGTGGAGTTCAAATTATGTCTGTCATGAGATAGGAACTGACTGAAGACAATTGGTGAACGGTTGGTGAAGTTGGTGGATTGGTTGGAATTAGACATAAACACGATGGGATGCGGGCTCAGTGGTGTATGTGTTAAGTGTTCTTGTGCGAGACTGGTAAGTCCTAGGTTCGAATCTCGCTAGGCAAGGTCGTGGGTACGCACTGCCACTGAGGAGTCCCACAATAGGACAAACGACCTTAAAGCAGTGTTTCCAGGTTCTTCATGGTGGTCTAGCTTCAATTGACTCATGATTTCAACTATATAAAATATAAATACTTAGCTGAAAAGTATTTGGAATCAGCTGATTTTAATAAAGATAGTAAATTAGAATATAAAGAAATGTGGAAACATTTGAAAACGTAGGTTACATTTATTAAAAAAATTGACATTATTGTTTTTATCTGTATGCCTATGTATGTGTGTGTGTAAATTAAAACAATGAAGATATAATTATAAGTGAATAGGGTTGTTTTCAATTCGATTTTTATACTTGAAAGCATAAGCTAGACCACTATGGAAAACCTGGAAGCACTGGACGGCCGTTTCATCCTATTGTGGGACTCCTCAGTGGCAGTAAGCATCCACGACTTCAACTCAATTTTTATCAAGTTCTACATTAATATCAGCATTAATATTTATATTCATATCTGAAGTTAATAATCCTAAGTCCGGATAAAGGAGGAGGGTTGGACGTAGGGGTTAGCGACCCCATCCCATAGAAAATTAACTCACTAAAAAAATACTCTAATCAGAAAAAATTAAAGCATGAAAAAATCAGAAAAATATATTATGATCAATAATCAGTATAGGGGTCTTCGTGGAGAATGTGAAGTTTTCATAGTTAACATCACAGATTGATCTTAGTCTAACTATTATTGAAAATCATGAAATATTGAATGATTGTTTAGTCTTACAGAGTGAATGCTTAGTTCCTAGAACTATTTATCACATCCTACCTCATCTCTTGCATATTGTTCGATCTATAGAATTTTAAGCTAATGATCCTAAACATTGAAATAAATCATATTATTTGCAGACCATCAAAAGTAGCAAACACTCATGTAGCCATTGATCCTTAAACAGCTCAATATATCTTGATATTAGATAGAGAGATACCTTTTAAAATGTTACCCTTTTTAATATTGTAGTGAACAAGAACACTAGTTGGGGACAATCGAATGTATTCAGACACAAATTACAGACTATCTCACTAAAATTCTGATAACCATACAGCAAACAGTCAATTTGCAACATAACAACCAATCGTCTTAATCTTCATTGTTCCTTCTGTAAATTTCACTCCATCTTCTCTAATTCCATTGTTCATGAATTTTCCTACCGATTGAGCTTCATTTCAGACATTTCTGACCATCATCATATACTACTTATATGGATATAAGTAGACCACACTACAATATCAATTATATTATCTACTAGTTGAAATGATATTTCTTAATATTATCTTGTCAAATCTTTTTTGTCTCATTGATGATCATCAAAAAATGAGTAAAATCAAGATCTTAAATTCAGCTTCAAGTTATTCATAACTTTTTCACTGTTCAATAGGTTCTTGCATTCAGGATTTTGAATCATTTCTTCATTCATTTGATGAGTGACCGCTAAATACTATAAAGATTTCATCTGGAGTATCAAGTATCTGGAGTTATCAACAATTGTCTGATGTGAATCTGTCAATGTAATAGAACATAATGTACTCTATGCAAAATACATATACACTAATCACTAGGGCTTCTTAAAATGAAATCACAGGAAAAAAATCTATTTGCTAGTTGATGTGTAGGCGAGAATGATAATGATTAGTTGTATGCTTGATCACATTTGTAGATAGTCTGACAGGTGTCAGTTAAGTTATATATTCCCCTATTCTTAGTGTTGATTATTATTATTGATTGATTGGCCATTTGGTGTTGGATTGTGTCGGGTTTTGGTGTGAAAATATGTTGACGTTCTAGTCAGGCTAATCACGTGTTCTTGATCTGAGTTATGTATTGAAGCCTTGTAGAATAAAAACTGGTAGGGAATTCAGTGTAAATATTTGTCTAGAGTAAAATGACGTCCTATAACACTAGTATCTTGTATTCATTCAGTAAGTAATCGAGAAACTGATCAAAAGTTTTGGACATAACACACTTATTGAACATTAAAAAGTATATGAGGACAACCTTAACCAGAATTTCTATCGATTACATTGTAGTATCGGTGTATATGTTAAGCCTATATACTTTATTCTAGTTGCTGGCTAAGCCAATTCATTTTTCCGTTGAATCATCTTTTGATCTTGTTAATCACTTGCTTATAAACCTTGACTATATTTTTATATGAGCGTATATGTGTGCACACTTCGTATCTTATTCATTATATGTCTGTCACTCATTTTTGTCTGACTATAAATTTTGATCAACGCTTGCTTAAATCGAGTTGGCTTCCCAGCCATCTCCCATGCATGTCATTTCCGCCTCGTTCGCTTCCTTCGCTTCCTTCGCTTATTCGCCTGTTCACTCGCTCGCTCGCTCGTTATTATTCGCTCAGGTGTTGCTAACTTTCTGACCTGAGTTATTCGACAATAAACTGTAGTTGCTGCTATCCTTTGTCTTCTGACTTTACGCACCGTTAAGATTAGAATTATAACGGTTATCGAAGTAAACGATTAACGAATCGCGGCACTACAACAACTTACTAACAATTAAAAATAAGTATAAATAGTCAACAAATGGATTAATTGAATTAAAACATTATTCTGGTGACAAGATCACTACGTGATAATGTTGAAATATTTCTCCATTATGTTGTAGTGCCGCGATTCGTTAATCGTTTACTTAGATAACCGTTATAATTCTAATCTTAACGGCGCGTAAAATCAGAAGACAAAGGATAGCAACAACTACAGTTTATTGTCGAATAACTCAGGTTAGAAAGCTAACAACACCTGAGCGAATATCAACATGCGAGAGAGCGAGTGAACAGGTGAACAAGCGAAGGAAACGAACGAGGAGCAAGCGAGCGAATAGCAAGCAATTATATAGGCAATTTATAGTCAAATTTAATAAGGGAACAGCAAATCAAAACAAAAGCTGATAATAATATTTGCGTGCGTACATATATGGGGAGGAGTATGAGTCATCGAATGATATTTAAGCAGTCAACATTTCGGATAGAGTGTCATGTGCTTTAGTGGTATAGCAGTGCAAAGAATATGCAAATTGTTACTATCCAAATAACGATGTCTGTTAAGTAAGATATAAAAAGGGCTTAACCAGAATTGGCTATAATCGGAATTGATTATAGGATGGTTGCTATAATGTGCTTTAAATCTTATATAACGTTGATTTCATATGAAAAACAGTATAAGGTTTTTATTCAAATCAAATTTTTTTCAATAGTTGGATTCATGAATCGATTATAGCTAGACCATCGTTGAAAAGCTGGAAGAACTGAACAGCTTAAAGAGATATTTTCTGGAGTTATAGTGAGAAGCCATCACCAGTGGAGTTCAATCCTGTCTAATGTGAGATAGTAACTCACTGAAGCCAATAGTGAACGGTGGCGCAATTTTCCTGGATTGATTGAAGTTAGACATCAACAAAGTTGGATGCCAGCTCAGTGGTTGAAGTGTTAGCGCCTGAGATGGAAGGTTTTAGGTTTGAGTTCCGCAAGCGAGATTGTGGGTGTGCACTGCTGAGGAATTCCATACTAGGACGAAACGGCTGTCCACTGCTTCCAGGCTTTTAACGGTGGTCTTGCTTAAATCGACTCATGAATTCAACCATTTAATCACCACAATCTCCACAAAACCCTTTTCTTTTGTTTATTTGTTTGTTTTTAATCTATTAGCAAAGGTTTTACTGATGAAGAAATAAAAATGGTCTTTGAGAATTTTGATGAAAATAAAGATAACATACTATCGCATACAGAACAATTGAAATTAAAAGCTTCACTACAAGAACAAAAGGTTTGTACAGTAGATGCTTTAGAATAATAATAGTCAAACATCTTGTTTTGGCATTAAAAATTCCTTTAGTTTGACTGATTCAAGTTGGATTTATAAGATGTACCGGTTATGTCCTATGGTCTGACAAATTGTCAATCAGAATACCAACTTCTATTATCTTGTCTCTATGTTAAACTAATGATGCGTCAACCAGCACGAGCAGTCTTGAGTCAACTCTAAGTTGTTATTGACCATCTCAGATAGTAGCTCCTCGCCTAACCCAACCGGTTCAGTCCAGAATACAAATATCAGCCTCCACTGTATGAATCGTATTTTTCAGACATACGCGCTTAATATATAAACGGACCAGAGCACATCACACTATAGAATTGGAAATGATAATTATAGAAGATCAAGTCAATAGTGGCTGTGTGTACCGGAGACTTTAATTAATAGATTGGGAATAAATTTAGAATGGTGAATCGTATAGCAGTAGTCAATAGGCGAAATGAAAGCTTATGATAAAAAGAATAGGGGTATATATATGTATAATCTAGTTACTTAATAATTATCCTATAAGAATATATGTAATAATAGTCCACATACAACCCTTAGCAGTTACCGTTCATTTATTCTTTGTTCCAATATAACGATACCGCTTACAGTTTAATACATCTCATACATATAGTTCCCTATGCTATCATAAAGAAAGCAAAAACAAAGGTTGGTTCAAAATAATATGAATTCATATGCTCACTAGTGACTGGCTCCATGAGGTAATTCCTGAATTTTTAGTGAGAAGTCTTGGCCAGTGGAGCTAATCCATGTCAGGTAGAGACAGATATCTACCTCAGTATAATGGAAGTTGGTCGCGCAATTTCGTGGATTGTTTAAAGTTAGACATTAACACCGATGGATGCTGACCAGCTCAGTGGTCTATCGGTTAAGTGCTCGCGCGCGAGGCCGGTAGGTCCTGGGTTCGAGTCCCGCGGGGCAGGATCGTGGATGCGCACTACCACTGAGGAGTCCCACAATAGGACGAAACGGCCGTCTAGTGTTTCCAGGTTTTCTACGGTGGTCTAGCTTCAATTGACTCATGATTTCAACCATATGAAAGTACTAAAATCTCCACAAAACCCCCTTGTGATCATTATATTCCGTTATGTTCTCATTATTTACATGCAACCTGTATAATATTTATAATCAGTGTTACTACAGATATTGACATATAAAGACGAGGGTGATTAGAGATGAATATGTGTGTTATGATGTGGCGAAGATTCCAATGAAGTTAATTAGGTCGTAAAAATTTCGTTTCGGACAAAAAACGTTTTGGAGAGGAAGTTCCAGAATAGTGAACTAGTGATTAGACGTCATGGAGTCAACAAACATTAGATGATTGTCTAATGAATGAACTGTAAACAGATTAATGGTAATAAAGAAAGATATGGATTGAAATCAGTCATCGAAGAAAAATGACAATGATGTAATCAAACTTCATAAAGGTTTGAAAGGAGAGTTAACATCCGATTAAAAGAACAAATTCCTAAAGGTCTAAAGTCAAATGAATTAAAAGCATTCAACAGTGCCATCTCCAGAAATCTTCTTGACATCAATTGAATACACTGAAGTCGCTCTAGATGATTAATAAATAATCAAACTCCAATCTTATGAAATTTGTCGAAGCGATAGCAATCAAACGTCTAAAACCATATCTGTATCCAAAAAAGCCCCCAAATGCCCTGGTACGGCCGACAGTGGGGAGAGTCAGCTCTCCCTCTCCAAATACTCTCACATGGCTAAGCGAATATATACCCTCTACCAGGGAAGTCCTACTCAGTGCCTTCTCGTGGCACCGGTGTTGTTCACGAAAGTGATAGGACGAAAAGCGAATGTCCGGCGCTTTAACCGGGTTGGTGGACACGGCGCGCCCACCTAGGTTAGTTGGAAAACCCTGATTCCAAACCAATGGTGCACATGAGCCCCAGTATCCTGAAGGAACATATGGCGTATGAATCAATCGTTGGTCACCGGCTACCATGTGACTGCATCTCCTCACGATGCTCCACTGCCTTGTGGACTAGACCTTCAGGTCAAAGGCTCCAAGTGTGGCCCCCCTAAGAAAACCACCTGCTTCAGTTTGGGCACCTGGGCAGTATCACAGCCCTCACACAAATGAAATGAGATTTGTGAGGCGCATATTTATCTGGTTCTTCCTTGTATCAATATTTATGTGTTTAAATAATAATAATAATCCGAAAAGAAACAGTAATAAATCTTTCTTTTCCTTAGTAACATTACAACCTTTTTATTACATCATTCATTGTTTCAACTCTTTCTAAAGTTTGATTACATCGTTGTTATTAAACGAATACATGGACAGAATATATACGAAGTAACCAAGACTATATTTCATTAAAATCAATATCATTCGATCATTATAGAGTCATACTGTGGGCCCAAAAAGATATCATAAATTCATTTAGTTATGTTCGTTTGAATCGGGACTCAGTGGCTGAGTGGATAACGCGATGGCGTTTGAATCAAAGGCACTGGGTTCGAGTCCCAGAGTGAACATCAACTGTGAGATGCAGGTACATCCAGCTGATGAGTCCCAAATAGGACGAAACACGCGTCAAACTAAATTCCACTGCTAGTCACTATCCAAAAGACATCATAGTTTACTTAGATTATTGCTCAATGATATAAACCGTAAAAACCCAACTTGTTTTTCTTACTCTCTCTCTAATTTTTAATTCTTTTTTTTTTAATGTTTGTTCCCTTCTACTCCCCCTCTGTGCTCCCCCCCCTCGCACCAACACATACCCCATGTGAATAGATTGCTTTAGTTAGTGAATTAGCTAAAGAAGAACGTTTAGATTTAAATTCAACACAACCTGGTACAAGTCAAACCAAAATAGTTCCAACTACAAAATATCAAATTGAAATAAAACAATCTGAATTCATGCAATTATATAAACGTGTTAATCGTATTGAAAATGGTATGGGACAAGTGATTGGACATATTGAAGATGTATTAAAATCTTTAGCAACATTAGAAAAAATCAAAGTTATAAGACGTGAAACAATGACACAATTTTTACAGACTATTATCTCAGTAAGTATGAATAATAATAATAGTAATGATACTATTATTATTATTATTATTATTATAACCCTACCCGTTCAATGTTCAATATAAACACAAGAACACTTATTTGTTTAAATGGTGAAAGTATACACCCTTTACCGATGATAATTAAACTTGCTTCAAGTGACTTTCAGAAAGTATGGCCAGTTTTTAATGAATCATGATCCAAGTAATTTAAATGTAAAATGTTATTGTTTATATATTGAAAGAAAGTTTGGTGTTATGATCTGTGATTTCGAGTTTGAGTTAGATGTTAGGTTTACATAAATAAGAATTGTAACCATATGGATAAATACTGATGGAGTTAAAATAGTGGTTGGAGGTGGTCAACAAGAAATCCTGAATCCGGGTTTCGTGTTATTTGGTACTCATCAGTAAGGTGTACCTGTAATCTTGATTGATATCATTCGATCAGCACTAAGAAGGACTTGACAAGCATGACATTGATCACCACCCAGTGATCAATCAATTGTGATTACATCTCAGTTCTACAGGAGGTCGGTCATGGCCCTAGTAGCTCAGTGGTAACGTCTCTGACTGTGAAGCTGAGTGACACGAGATCGAATCCTTCAGGGAGAACCAGTTCCCTCAAGATTACAGGTACGCCTTGCTGACGAGTGCCAAGTAGCACGAAAGCCGGGTCCAGGGTTTCCTGTTGACCACCTCCAACCACCATCTTATCTCAACATAGTGCACACAGTGTAGAGCCACCTAGACTAGTGACCACATTGTAACTTGATCGATAGCATTCGATTAGCACTAAGATGGATTTGACACGCATGACATTGATCACCACCCAGTGATCAATCAATCGCGACTGACGGAGTTAGTTTCTTTTAATATTTTAAACATCAAGAGTACTTAAGTTGTTTCCAGGAATTCATAAATAATGGTTTCTATTCTTGCAACTTCTTATAGTTATCAGTTTTAAACGTTTAGTTACTGAATTCTGATTCATTTTACATATTAGGGTAGTACTTAACTTTTGTGACTTTTTTGAATTTTGTGCAAAATTCCAACATTCTCTATATTAAATCTGATTGGCTTAACAATCAATTATACTCTTATGGTTCAAATGTACAGAAAAGTAAATCAGAGTATGTAGGTTAAGGGAGGTATTTTGAATTATGACTAATGGTGTGTTCATCAATATTGGGCTATAAGTACATCATGTAGATGAGTTCTAATTAGTAGAAATTAAATAAGTTATTTATTTCACTTCTAACTACTTGGTAAATGCTAACAAAATTAAGGTTTCTGTTGAGAAAATTCATTTGCTCTCACACAATAACAATTAAATACTGTCCGCCATATCAACAAAGAGTAAATATGTGTAAACGAAATACTCGCATAGCAACTATCATGAATATTTTTTTGTAAATGAATTCTATGTAGATTTTATATATAACTTGATTGATTACTTAGCAACTACGCGAAACAACCGACTCGGATAATTGATTATGAACATAATAAATCATAGGTGACAAGTCAAATTATTTTGTCACCCTCAATCAGTTTGACCATGATGAGCTGTTTTTACCCAAACGGTAATCGATACACGTTTTAATAGATAGCTAACACAACGTTATAATGTACCTGTATTGTTGAAATGACAAATGGTCATGTGAGGTATAGGGATGGTAAGGTATGTAAAATGATATAATAAGTGAAGATTCCGATACTTTAGTAATCCTGACGATTATTAAAACTAATGAAAACAAATCTGAGACAAGTTTGTTACTGTACTTACTTATTTACACCTGTTACCCCTCGTGGAGGCGCATAGGCCGCCCACCAGTTCTGGTCAGCGTTTTTTTCAGCGAGTTAGTTTTCTACAGAATGGGGTCGCTAGTCCCATGCCCAACCCTCCTCCTTTACACGAGCTTGGGACCGGCAGTAACTCTATAAGTGCTACATGCGGAGTTACTGTGAGTGAAAAGTATTTTGAAAGTATTGCTTACTCTAAATTTTGTTAAATAAAATTATAATCCCCGTTTATTTAACAGACAACATAACACTTCCAGTGATCGATCTAAAAAATATGAGCAAAAATAAACAAAAATAGGTCCTTTCATTGAGGGATGTTTTTCAGTAAATGAACAGACTACAATTGAAGTGATTATGTTAAAATAACTTTCAGTTTGACTGAAGTTGGTTTGGTAGTGATCTGAGATATTGTCTTTGAATTCTTTCGTTACTAAGGATTTCTTTCATCTTGAATCATAATTCTCATAAACATCAATGGGAAGATTCGAGTAAACAAAACTAAGTGAATTTTAACTTCACACATTGCACAAGCAAGTGGCTATCAGAACTCAGTAGCTAAGTGGATAAGGCGATGACGTTTGAAGCGAACAGTACTGGGTTCGAGCACTAGAATACACATCAAATGTGGGATGCATGTACATCCAGCTGACGAGTACCAGATGGGAAGCTTGTGACTTCGGGCAATATTGAGGGTGTCCGCACAGGATGCACATATTCAATCGTAAACATCAATGGAAAGATTTAAGTAAACAATATCAAGTGAATCCTGATAAACCACTTCGGTATTTGTAACGTTTTGAACGTACTACTAACAGATAAGAGTCACTGGATGAAATAAAAATTGATTTTATCAAGATGAATAAAACTGTGAGAAACTTATTTGGTTAGTAGAAATAAATTAAACTATGAATTGATCCTAGCTAGGCCACCGATGAAAACATAAAGGCATTAAATACCTGTTTCGTCCTAGTATATAACTTTCCAGCAATGAGCATTCATCAACCCACCCAAGACATTTAATATCGCACACGAACGCTTGATCTCTAGATCACTGAGTTTTCATTTTCTAGTATATATTTTTGACTTCAATTCGCGCTACTGCTCGAATATCTTCTTTTACTTCAGGTGCATAACTGTCTCCCACCCGACATGGTTGAACTTCACCAGTCACTACTTTTCACCAGAACTCCAAAAATTGTATTTTGAAGTTATTCACTACTAAGCACAGTTATTATTAGTATGGAGCATATACACTACTCTCAGCGGCTCAGCGGTCTAGAGGTATAGTGTTCACACACCATTTAGTCGGCCCTGGATTCGATCCCTTATGGGGTTGTTGATGAGTACTGCTGAGCAGCTTCATGCTAAGGAGCAGCTCTCCAGTATTTTTTTTAGTTCCTAACATCCATTTTTCTAAGATTAGATCATGATTTAAACTGTAAAATTCAATGACCTCCACAAACCTCTTCCTGGAATTAAATAATGATGTAAAGGGTTTCAAGGTGTCGAAAAATTACGTAATAAGCCAAAGAGTAAATAGATTACAAGTAAGAGAAAATTACGAACTTGAAGAACTCTAGGAAAGTGTGAGTATGGAATAGCACTGTGACGTGAATGTTTTGAACATATCAAAGTAAAAAGTCTGTTATGCGGTGATCTAACAGTTAATGGAAATTCATACAACAGTTATTGTTCTTTTTATATGAATGGGGATATTACTATTATTACTATTATCATTACTATTGTTATTATTATTAGACAAGTCCACAAGACAGAGGTGATCGGTTGGATGATATCATTCAGGCTGGTTTAGACAATATGACTAGTACGGTTGATCTACAAAATGAATGATATATCATGGTTATTTCATTGGTAAGTTTTTATGCTAAATGAAAACCTTCATAAACCTTGTATAAATATTATTCAGTAAAGCAGCGGTAAATTTACTCTGTGGTTCAGACCAGATGATTGATTTATTTGTAAGATTCCTCAATCAAACTATAAGATAACCTGTCACTATCGAGAGTGGGGAGAGTCCGCTCTTCCTCTAAATATGCTCTCACATGGTCACATGCATACAACCACTGCCAAGGAAGTTCTACCCACTGCCTTCTCGCTGCAGGGGTGTTGTTTACAAAATTGAAAGGACGAAAAGCTAATGTCCGGCGCCTCAATCGGGTTGTTGGATATGAAGGATCATTGGATAGATTACTTTGTAAATGTTATAAACAATAATTACTATTTTTGATGGAGTTTTGTTCTCTGAGCTGGATGGTTTAGTCATGGAGCTTTCATTATTCTTCAAGACGACATTATCAGCACAAACTTCGAGTAGAAGTGAAGTGTTTGAATTTATCGACATGTGGTTCACAGCTTATCCTGCACAAGATGTATACGATGAAAGCTCCATGACCAAATGATCCAGCTCAGAGAACAAAACTCCATTAAAATCATCCGACATGTGGTTCACAGCTTATCCTGCACAAGATGTATACGATGAAAGCTCCATGACCAAATGATCCAGCTCAGAGAACAAAACTCCATTAAAATCATCCAACTAAGTTACAAATCTTTTTCACTATCTCAATAATCACTATGTTGTACACTTGGAGCCTTTATTTTTTGTTAATGTTACGTAACATGAAATCAGTAATTTATTTTTCAGACTTTTAAAAGACAGTTATATGAAATCAGAAGGGGGTCTGTCAAGATTGAAGTAATTTTATAGTTGAAATCATAAACCTATTGAAGCCAAACCACCATGGAAAACCTGGAAGCACTGGACGGCCGGTTCAGTAGTCTAATGGTTAAGTGCTTGCGCGCGAGACTGATTGGTCCTGGATTCGAATCTCGCAAGAAGGGATCGTCGGTGTGCACCGCCACTGAAGAGTCCCACAATAGGACGAAATGGCCGTCCAATACTTCCAGGTTTTCCATTGTGGTCTAGCTTCAATTAGTTCATGATTTCATTTATAAAATTATATAAAATGTTATTTTTACATGATTAAGGTTATTGGTTACATTTTCAGTACTCAATAAATGTGCCATATCTAGTAATATAGGTGAATATTGGATATTAAGGTGTAATTCTGTTTTTTCTTTTTCTTTTTGTTTTCTCGAAGATTCCATTTTAACCATCTAACACTATCAACAATTGTCTCCAAGAAAAAAAATCATTCACCTTATCAATAAATAGAGAACTATTTAACAGTACTAACTAGATACAATAAACTTATTTAATATTGAAAATAGAATAGATAACCTTAGTGTTGTTTTGTTACATCATGCAATTATATTACCTTCACCCCTTTGACGTTTGATGCACACACACACACATGCACGCACACGCGCACACACATACACACATAACAACCAAAAATAAATGAACAAACATTTTTATTGTGTCGTTTTTTTTAAAAAAAGAAAAAAACGCGATATTTTTTTTATTTTTACAGTGTTTTTTTTTCTAGTTTTATTTTAATAATAAAGAGTAAATGTGCTTTATTGAACTGGGAAACAAACAATTTGCCATTCGTTTATGTTACATAACAGGAAATGATAAAAAAATTTCATTATGTAATTTATGGGTGTAAAGTTATTTGTTCCATATTTTGTTTAAAAGAAATGAAATATTTTCACAGTTGAAATCATAAGTCAATTGAAGCTAGACCACCATCCAAAACCTGGAAGCACTGGACGGTCGTTTCGTCCTGTTATGGGACTCCTCAAAAGAGGGTTTTGTGGAGATTTTAGTAATGCAATAGTTGAATTCATGAGTCAATTGAAGATAGATCATCATGGAAACCTGAAAGCACCGGACAGCCGTTTTGTCCTGGTATCAGTCAGTCAGTCACAACATAGAACTTTGTACGTACGTACGTACATCGGTTCGAGTTGCCACATCACATTAGCACTGAGATGAAGTTGTCGATTCAAATTCCATAGTAATAGAAGTAGTAAGAGTATAAGCAGTAATATGAATGATTAGGGTTTGAAGATGTTATTGAAGGAGTATAATACAGTGAAATGAATTTGGAAAGAGAAAAAAGATAGAGACATGAAGAATTCGGAAGATTAGAATTTGGCAGAACACAAATAGTGGATGCACCTTCACCATTGCAAACGATTTTGAGTCATGTCATTCAAGGTGTCTAAACATCGACTGCTATCATCTCGCGGATCCCAACCAGGTAGTCTCCACCTACCAACATGGTTCAGTCCAATTGTCAGTGACTTCATGGATTTGTGATTTTTCCTAGTATGGTACTCCTCAGTAGCAGTACTCATTCACGATCCTGCCCGCGGGATTCGAACCCAGGACCTTTTCGTTGGATGTCGGGTCAGTGGTCTAGATGTTGCGCGTTAGCGCGCGAAATCGAAGGTCCGGGATTTGAATTGGGCGAGCGGGATCGTGGATGCACACTACTGAGGAGTCTCATACTAGGACGAAACGACTGTCCAGTGCTTCCAGGTTTTCCATGATGGTTTAGTTTCAATCAACCCATGAATTCAACTATTAAATTAATAAAATATTGTTTGTTCGGAATTACTTTTAAATACCTAATTACAATGCTAAGGATTGATTATCTCAAAGCAATTAGGTAATTAATGATGCAGTGTTATGTCTACTGTTTGAACACTTGATATAACCCTTCTAGCTCATTCCTACATTTCTAGTTTATTCCAAATTTTGAGCTCGAACAGTAGAGAAAAGGTTTGAAATAAGAATAGAAACTTTAATTCAAGGTTTCATACCTCTTACTGGTTGAACGCTATATTCGGATCCTAAGCTAGCTTCGTAACCCCCCCCCCAAAGCTAGAACTACACAGCGACTTGAACACGAGAGAAAAGACACAAAATATGTGGGAAGCACTTTGCTCCAAGGTTCATTTATGTGCAGAAAATATAGGGTTTTTATGGTATTTTAAAAGTCCTTGGGTTTTACTGGAAATTCTAGAATACTACTAAACATAGTAGCAGTGTAGTTATCAGCCAATCAGAACCTCTACATGTGACTTTTCATTTTTTGCGATGTGTCTTACAAAACTTCTAATTAAACGCTGATTGGATAAAATGCTTCTTAATGTATCTTGAGTTTGTCATGTCGATTGCGAGAAATTTGCAGCATCATCCCAACAAGGTTAATTTGTTTACAGAAATCAAGTTTGTTTCTAAGTTTACAAGTTGTTTTGATACGGAAGAAGCTTCTGGAAATACACCCAATTTAGTAATAAAGTAAGTAATTGTCCAACTAAACTATGACTCAAAATCTTTCACTTTTCTATTTGGTATTAACTGAATGAAATATTTTCAGCATTTTCTGAGTGTCTAGAAACTTTCTAGAGAAATACTTGGTGACTTTCAGAACAGTATTTGGTAAATATGTGTAACAACACAAGTTGTGAAGTTCATATTAGTCAAGCAATAGGAAATTATCAAGCTAAATGTTGACCACTTGAAATAACTGTAAAGATTTTAGTAAAAGAAAGAAGTAACTAGAACTCCAGCATCATTAGAAATGTTGACTGTCTATGAGAAACACTTTACAGCCAATAACATCCTAGTACGCTTTCACTCCCATATCTCACGTACCTCTACCTTTGATGTTAATTCTCTCCAACTAATCCGCCTAACATTGTAAAACTCTAAAGGATTAGGTATTTTGAATACAATTTCTCCTATGGATTGGTATGACAAGCAGTTGCAATCATTGTATCAAAGTCGAGCTTCAGTTAGGTTATTACAATTATACAAACATCTATATGACTCATTTACATATTGATTCAGACTTCAGAATAAAAATCTCCTGACTCCACAAAACTGATTGAGTAAGCATTATGAAGTGTGTACTAATACTGAATCGAAATGCAGCTCACAAAAATGATACAATCATGTAATGTTTGATCAGAAAAGATATTTATCATAATGTACCATGAACAGTTACTTCCCAACTACTCATAAATAAGAATTCCAAGTGCTCAAAAAAGATTATAAGTACTTGGATTACCTCTTAATAAATCATAACATAATTTTATATTTAAAACACCTACAGAGGTATACATGACTCAGTGTGAGAAACGAATAGATCTGGGTTGATTCTCGATACCCGAAGAAGATACAAACTGATAACTAAAAATTTCTGTTATATTAGTAACTAATCAACCTTCCAGTTAATTGTAACTGACTATCACCTATCACTCATTGATCAATAAATAATCATCTGACATTAATTTACTAAAGGATCATATACATGATGAACTCCGTCTGTAGCTCCTCCGGGGGCTACTGCCGGTCTCAAGCCCGGGTAAAAGAGGAGGGTTGGGCATGGGGTTAGCGACCTTATCCCGTAGAAAACCAACTCGCTAAAAAAGCGCTAACCAGAAAAATTATTCATATACATGATACATGAATAAAACATGTCAACTTCCATGTATATTAAAACAACACGAACTTAAGTTTGATAGTTATAAACAGCTTTTATTGTTTAAAAGAAAACACAATGGTCATTAACTAGTAAACAACTGGTTATATTTGTACATAAGTCTTCCACATGTCCAAAAGCATATACATACCTACTATTCACTCATTTGATATATCCAATCGTTATATATTTTATTCGTTTGATGACTATTGTTCACTTTAATTTCTGTATGTTGCTAACTGATTGTGTTGTCTCTTCTTCTTCTTTTACCCCGGAGTCTTCTTTCTTCTCGTTGTCATCGGCAGATTTCGGTTCTTCCACGGTTGACTTCTTTTTAGTTATGTATGGCTATTATTCAAATAATGTTTAAGATTTGATTATATGAAGATGATTTAATAAAACTGAGGAGTTGTTTCATTAAATTAAAGA